AAAAAAAAAAAAACACAAATAGCACTGTGGCTCAAGTGGTAGAGTGAGTGCTAGCTTTAAGTAAAAAGAAGCTCAGGGACAGCATCCAGGCCTTGAGTTCAAGCCCTAGTTTTTTTGTTTTTGTTTTTTTTTGGGGGGGGGGAAACGGGATGGGACCAGAGAATAACAAAAAGATGTCTGTGAAATGCGATTCATACATAAATACCTACTTCCACCATCTCTTCCTCCTCCTCCTCTTCTGAGGTCACCTCTTCCGTTGCTCCATTCTGAAACAGAAAAAATTTGCCAGGGCTATACATGCCACATACCACAGAATACACACACACACACAAAACTTCTCTCACTCGGGTTCTACTGACAGACAGCTTATTAAAAGATGAACACTTATTTTTAGAGATTTTTTTTTTTTTTGGTCTGTCATGGGGCTTGAGCTCTGGGCCTGAGCACTGTCCCTCAGCTCTTCAGCTCAAGGCTAGCACTCTACCACTTGAGCCACAGCGCCACTTCCAACACTTATTTTTAAATCCAGATAATAGTTACCAGCTTCTTAAAAAAAGAATCCATTCTGGTTTTATTGTTATTGTTTGTGTGTGTGTGTGTGTGTATGTACGCGCATGTGTGTGCACACGCGCGCACGCCAGTCCTTGGCATTTGAACTCAGGGCATGGACACTGTCCCTGAGCTTTTTTCACTCAAGGCTGGCACTCTACCACTTGAACCACAGCTCCACTTCTGGCTTTTTGGTGTTTAGCTGGAAATAAGAGTCTCACAGCCTTTCCTCCCAGGCTGGCTTTGAACCCTGATCCTTAGATCTCAGCCTCCTGAGTAGTAGGATTACAGATGTGAGACACTGGCGCCTGGCTAGAATCCATTCTGAATAATTCAATGTAATAGTTGTCTTAGAAACAAAGACAACTGGTCATATATTAAGAAAGGCAACAAGTTTTTTTAAAAATTTTAAAATATGAAAATTTTATTTATATAGCTATATGTATATGATTCTGTTTATAATGAATACTCCAAACTGATTCCTGAAGTGGCAACCTTTTTTACTTGAAATGCCTTAAGTTGTATATAAATTCAACTGACTTACATTTTAAAAGCTCAGGCATGATAGAGGAACAGAAACTTCGTAAAACTAAGTATAATGAGAACATGCTGGATGCTGGTGGCTCACATCTATCGTTCCAGCTCCTCAGGAGGCTGAGATCTGAGGATCACAGCTCAAAGCCAGCTCCTACAGAAAAGTCCCTGAGACTCTTATCTCCAATCAACCAGCAAAAAGTCACAAGTGAAGAAAGCTGTGGCTCAAACGCACCAGCCTTGAGAGGAAGAAGTAAGGGACAGTGCCCAGGCCCAGAGTTTAAGGCTCAGTACCCCTCCCTACCCCTAAAAAAGTTGAAAATAACAATCACATTCAAGAGTAAATTTTCTTTTTGAAAGTACGTTATTTACTACAGGATATGTCTCTATAGACCACAACTCAATGTTGATTGACAAATAACTTCAATGGACTTTTAGGAAAGGCTTGCATGTTCAAGCTTGGCAAAATTCCAAAATACAAGATTCCTTAGGACAAGGCACAGAAACATGTCTCTAACCATCAGCATGGCTTAAGTTGGGATCCTGAATATTTCAAAGATCTAGACACAAAATTAAGCCAACCAGGATCTCAGCAGTGTGCACGCATCTGTAACACTGTGATTTTTTTTTGGGTGGGGGGGTCCAGTCGTGGGGCCTGAACTCTGGGCCTGGGCGCTGTCCCTCAGCTCTTCAGCTCAAGGCTAGCGCTCTACCACTTGAGCCACAGCGCCACTTCTGGCTTTTTTCTTTTTGCTTATGTGGTGCGGAGGAATCGAACCCAGGGCCTCATGCATGCAAGGCAAGCACGCTTACCACTGAGCCACCTTCCCAGCCCAACACTGTGATTCTTAAGAAAAACATGACTTAGGGTTGGTGAGCCGGATGCACACACCAATGCAAAGAGCCAGAAGGTTTGCACCAGACTGTAGTGAGCACGGGAAGGAAGATGGGGGGACCTCTTGTTCCCCAGGGGGTTTGGTATCTGAACAACATACCTGCCCTAAAGGTGCCTAGCACAAGTGAGGTGCACAGTTTTGAACTGTGAGCATTTCAGAACTGACCCCCGAGAATTTCAAGCACCATTTCAAAGTAATTCAGGTGTGTAGACCACCAAGTCAGGGGCCAGCAAACCCATCTTTTTTGTTGTTGGTTTTGGGGCTTGAACTCTGGGCCTGGGTGCTTTCCCTGAGCTCTTCAGCTCAAGGCGAGTGCTCTACCACTTCTGGTGGTTCATTGGAAATAAGAGTCTCATGGACTTTCCTGTCTGGTCTGGCTTTGAACCACGATCCTCAGTTCTCAGCCTTCTGAGTAGCTAGGATTACAGGCGTGAGCCACCAGTGCCTGTCCTGGCCCTTCATTTTTACAAAGGAATAATAAAGCCCCGCCACCTAAAGGGTAAGTAAGTTAACACAAAGATGAGAGTGAGGGGAGTGAAATCCTAAGACGAATCCCACTCAGCTGTAATGCAGCCTTCCTTCCAAGACCCACAGAAATGACTGGGATCCAAAAGGGCTGAGAGGCAGGAAGGCTCAGGCAGGTGGGTCCGGGATGCAGCCAGAGGGCCACGCCAGGGGCTTGGAAGTGTGGCTCACTGGGTAGAGTGCTAGCCAATGAGAACAAGCTTGGATCTAAGGGGAATAAAAAGATAAGAGCAGGCCAGGTCTGACACAGGTAAAGAGGAGGACCCCTGGAACCCGTCACAGGATTCGTCTCCGCTGCTGTACCTGGCCCCCACACCTGGTAAGGATTCCCCTCCACAGGACACCTCTTGGAGTGAGAGAGGCACAGAGGAAAGACATGCTGCTGTTGTAACTTATTGCTCCTTAACCATCTGGGGCGACTGGGCTATTTCCCGCCAGCCACAGCCAGAGCACGGATCTACGAGGGGGTGGAATCCGCCTCGCGGAAGGGAGACACGCGGCCCAGCACCCAGCACCACGCATGCGCGCAGGCGGAAGGGAGACACAGACCAGCATTGCCCATGCGCGGCAGCGGCTGCAACCAGCTCTAGAAAACTGCCACGCTGGCAAGGCCAACGAGGGCCTGGAAACACGAGCAGGGAAGAAAACCAAACGACTGGAAAATCTCCCTGGTCCATTCAACAATAGCTTTGTGAAGCTACTACATCCCCTCCCCACGAGAGAAAGAGACAGAGACAAGAGACAGAGAGGAAGGAAGGAAGGAAGGAAGGAAGGAAGGAAGGAAGGAAGGAAGGAAGGAAGGAAGGAATCCTTATGTGAAGGGCAAGAAATTTCTGAAGAAAAAATGTAAAGATTTTAAAGAGAGCCATTGTTAGTGGCTCACTGTCATCCTAGCTACTCAGGAGGTGAGATCTGAGGATCACAGTTCAAAGCCACCCCGGGGAAGAAAGTCTATGAAACTCTTTATCTCCAATAAACCAGCAGAAAACCGAAGTAGCGCTGTGGCTCAAGTGGTAGAGCGCTCGGCTTGATCTGAAGAGCTGAGGGACAGCGCCCAGGCCCAGAGTTCAAGACCCACAACTGACCAAAAAAAAAAAAGAGAGAGAGAGAGAGATTTTAAAGAGAGGAAAGGGAGAAACAAATGTAGAGAGCTAACCAGAGGGCAGTGGACTTCATGGAACTAGGTGTGTTTAAGAAGACAAAATTGAAACAAGACCTTCAATATGGCTGAAAGATGACCAGAGAATTAAAAACAAAAGAATAGCTAAGGGACATGTAAAACAGGAATCTAGAGATTCAATATTCATTAACAGGACACAGGAAGAGTAAGAGAAGTAAGGCAGGCTCCAGTGGCCCACGCCTGTAATCCTAGCTACTTAGGAGGCTGAGACCTGAGGATCGCTGTTTAAAGCCAGCCCAGCCCTAGTAGGCATGTCTACGAGACTTTATCTTCAATTAGCCACGAAAAAAAATAATAATAAATTACAATCTTCAGAGCAGTAAAAAGAAATCCAACAATAAAGCATTATACCCATTCTAATGATGTTCATTATGGGAATGCAAGGATGATTTATAAGGACATTTTGTTATGTGACTCAGAAACTATGTTCTGGGCTGGGAAGGTGGCTCAGTGGTAGAGCGCTTGCCTTGCATGCTCAAGGCCCTGGGTTCGATTCCTCAGCACCACATAAGCAAAAAGAAAAAAAAAAAGCCGGAAGTGGCGCTGTGGCTCAAGTGGTAGAATCTAGCCTTGAGCTGAAGAGCTGAGGGACAGCGCCCAGGCCCAGAATTCAGGCCCCATGACCGGAACCAAAAAAAAAAAAAGAAAGGGGTACGCAACCAAAAAAAAAAAAAAAAAAGAAACTATGTTCTATTATCCACATAAGACCAGAGCCACAGTCCTGTAACTCAAGAGAGCCAATGGAATACCCAGGTATCCAACAGACACACACACTATGGAAAAGTACACAGCCAAGAAAGACAAATTAAATCATGTAATCTGGAGGAAAATGGACACAATTGGAGGACATCATGCTGAATGAGACCAGCCAAGCTCAAAAAACAAAGTTCTGTATGTTTTCACTCATATGAGACATACATATTCCCACAAGTGTACATACAATGTACATACAAATATTCCCATTTGCATAATATATATATGTGTATATATATAATATTCATGGATAAATAAAGAATATTAATCTAAGGGACTACTTAAGAAGAAACAAGAGAGGAAAGAGAAAAAGTATGAATAATTTTGAAATACATTTAGAAAGAGGATGAATACCACTGCAATAGATTATTTCCAACTATGAAAACTGAAGAAATCTGCTTATACTGTTTTGGGATAAGGGAAGGAGAAAGGAGACTGACAAAGGGGTGAGATTAATATCAACACATTGCATAAAATTGAAACAGTGAAATCACCTTTTGTTTAACTAACATTAGCAAAAGCAAACAAACAAACAAACAAAGGCTGGGTGCCAGTAATCCTAACTACTCCAGAGAGCTGAGGATAATGGTTTGAAGCCAGCTCAGGCAAGGTTGTGGAGATTCTTGTCGCCAATTAACCACAAAAAGCCAGAAGTAGAGCTGTGGCTCAAGGGGTAGAGTACGAGCCTTGAGCAAAAGAACTCGGGGACAGTGACCAGGCCCTGAGTTCAAGCCCAGAACCAGCCACCACCACCAACAACAACAGCAAACCAGCAAGGTAGGTAGATAGACACGCATTAGTTAGGTCATCACTGAGGAATTGGGTAATGAGGCACACAGTAGCTAGGTGTCACCCAACAGCGGAAGCAAACAATCAGCAGAACCAAGATGCACACCCATTGTTGTCCAGACTGTGATTTTTTTCAGAAGCTGGAACCCCAAAAGTACACTAGTTCTCCATACTTCCTCAAGCTTTTACTTCAGAATATGCTCAAGACAAACTGTGAAATGAGCTCTCAGCCAAGAATCCAGGAAATGATGGATTCCACTCTAGGAGATCAGACAAGAAAACCCTTGGGGTGATAGCTGCACATCCCCCCCTAGAGGCCCACCTACCAAGATCCATTCAAAAGAGCCAGGGGGGTCCAGAAGAGGGACCACAGAAAGAGAAAAAACATAATTCTTTAATTTCCCCCAACTAAGAATCACTCAGGAAGACACTGCAAAATAAAAAGCCATACCAGAAGGGAAGGATGGCAAGGGAGGCCTGGTGAGGAGCCAGTGCTTCAGGACGGGCGTAGGTGTACATGGTGTAAGAGCTGAGTCCTCAGGGACTGGAGTGAAAGTCAGGGACGGATGCCTGGATAGGCAGAGCAACAGCTTGGGCCAGGGGGAGGGACCAGAGGACAGTCCTGACACTTGGGGGTACCAGACTTGGGGCAGATGGACTAGACACAGGCTGAGCATGGGGAGCATTTATGGAAATCAGGAACACAGTTCAAACCAATACACTGGGTTGGGGAGCAGTGCTTGGAGCGCTCACAGAAACAGCAGCGGCTCCTAAGAATGGGAAGGTTATTTCTAGTAATCTACAATAAAACCAAGCAAGGCCCAGGAACACAAAAGCCTCACTTTTCTAAATGAAGTTGTGTGAGGATTAAAAGAAAAATCACAGCATCGGTTGAGACAGTTCATTTCAGCTCGTGAACACTGGAGAAGCATTACTTTACCTGACCCGTGGGGAGTGGCTGATCTAGCATCTCAACATCCAGGTGTTTAGGGAGGTTATATAATCTGCAGAGTTCACATATCAACCACTTCAATTGCTGACGAAGCTACAAAACACATTTCAGTAAATAAGCATTATGTTAAAAGGAGCCCTTACAAGACATTGAATAATGCTACAACTACTGTATCAATCCACAAGAACCTGACAACCCCTTTCCTGCTCAATGAGGCCTACAGGGACAGTAAGGCTTTAAGGTATTTTCAAGGGCTGCTAAAATAAGAAAATACTATTAAAAAAATAAAAGAGGCCGGGCGCTGGTGGCTCACGCCTGTAATCCTAGCTACTCAGGAGGCTGAGATCTGAGGATCGCGGTTCAAAGCCAGCCCGGGCAGGAGAGACCATGAGACTCCTATCTCCAATAAACCACCAGAAAACCGGAAGTGGCGCTGTAGCTCAAGTGGTAGAGTGCTAGCCTTGAGCTGAAGAGCTGAGGGACAGTGCCCAGGCCCAGAGTTCAAGCCCCACGACTGACGAAAAAATAAATAAATAAAAGAGCCACGTTCTGGCGCTCATATCTGAGTGGGTAGTTCTACTCAGGAGGCTGAGATCTGCGGATCGTGGTTCAAAGCCAGCATGGGCAGGTTAAGTCTGTAAGACTCATCTCCAATAAAGTTCCAAAAAGTTAGAAGTGGTAGATCATTACCCTTGAGCAAAAGAGCTCAGGGACAGTGCCCAGGCCCTGAGTCCAAGCCCAGGACTGGTACCAAAAAATAACAAAAAAGCAAAACCAAGTTAGACTGGCTAGACTCTAAACCCTGCAACTGACACCTGGTAGAATGACAGCGAGAAAAGGGCTGAGCAAGGGTGTCCCAGCCATCGTCCAGCTTCTGTGTGCCAACCTCTTTTCTTAGAAACTCACGTTGGACAAGAGAACCTAACAGCAGTACTGCTGTATATAGATTATAAAATCACAGTGCCATTCAAAAGCACAGGGGCAAGTGTGACCGGGCAGTGTGAGCCTGGGGCCCCCTGTCTACAGAACCAAAAAGCTACAACCCACCCAGAGTGAATGGCACAGACAAAGAACCTGTCCAAAACACCTACCAGGAAAACTATTATGAATAGTCCCCTTCTTTAATGTATTTCTGTTTTTATCCAGATTATTTGGTAAGTACATTTACTTTAAACAAGTAAGCAAGGTAAACTGTGTGCAAAATATGTCCTTCACTGTTTAAAACTCTTTTCAATCTGTGAATTTAACAAGGGCAGTTTAAGAAGAATGGTCAATATTTCAAGCCTCAAACTAGAGCTTACTTCCCTTAGTTAGGAGCCATTCTCCTGGGTGTCTCTGACCACAAAGAGATGAAGAGGAAGAAGCAGGTTGATGAGGGACTAAGAAGGCAGAGGCAGGATTAGAACAGGTTAAAACACGCAGAGAACAGACCTTTCCAAGGCAGACAAAGAAGCAAGCAGAAGCGAGGAAGGCAGAGCAGGAAGTTAGGATCACACAGAAGCCCCAGCTAGAATGGCTACGCACTCAGTCAGCTCTGTTCTGGGCTAAGTACATAATGCAGCTGAGCCTGGGTGATGCGGGACATAGCTCTGGACCCAGAGATCCCTGCAAAGGAGGGGCAGAAGGCCTACAGCAGGAAGCAATATGGTGACACCAAATGGAGTACATCTTCTAGAATCTTCAGCTTTACCCTTCCCCCCCCAAAAAAAAATGACGTGTTTGAGGGATGGGAAAGAGAACCAAGACCATAGGAAAGGACTTAAGAACTATTCACAAGGCAGACAGAAAGGTCTTCAAAACTTATTAGTTCTGGGATTCAGGGACAGAGCTATAAAAAAGAAGTTGGGGTCAGGCACAGGTGAGCAGCCTCATTATTTCATCTGTCACAATCACAAAAACAAATAAGGGAAACATGCTGGGTGTCAGCTGAGATGTCACTAGTTAAACACCCATGACACACTTCAGCGAGATTTCTGACCATTCAGGATAAATATGTCAATGAATGGGTCTGAAACAGGGCTGAGTTGTAGCGATAGATTCTGACTTAGGCTTAAGTCATGGAAGTAGAAACCAGTCGGAGAAGCACGGGATGAGAAGGGAAGAGAGACGCTGACAAAGGAGGGAAGTCAAAGGTGACCAGGGCAAGCAGTGAGAGACAGAAGCGGGAGCCTGGCCAGCGGAGCCCACGGACAACCAGATCCATGAGGCTGCTTCCTGCCCTCGTCTATTCACCCCATTAACAACCTCACGTGGAAGCCAACTGTTATTTTAAAATATTTTTTGTGCTGTATTCATGGCTTCCTATATTCAATGAGGAAAGAAAGAAAAGTACAGATAAGCCAGCAGAGACACAGATTTTCTTTTTTAACTACACTGTGCACTAAAGGGACCGGATGGCCCACAATTGTCTATGCCTCATTTTTCGCTTAGCGTGCCTTGGACCTTTGCATGTACTCCTACGCAAATTGACTGTATTATTTTTAACCATAATGGATATAACTATAAAACCCTTATTTTGATTTAACCACCTCTTTATTAGTGGACTATATAATAAATGTTCCACCAAGGACAGTCAACTATCAAAATGCTTCAGAAGAGCCCATTTGAGGTCTAGAAAGGAACCGCTGGATAGAACAAGTAGAAGATCAACTGTAGTGTAAATGAGGAAGGCAGTATTCAGCTTATTTTCTAGAAGCTGGATTGTGAGAAACCGTGAAAGTGAAAGGTGAGCTCATTTATCCTTCATGTAAATGCATTCATTTTTTAAAAATAACATTAGATCTAATTATATATCCTACTTAAACTATGAGAAGTGGGGGGGAAAAGAGAGGGACAGACAGAGACAGACAGAGAGACAGAGACAGAAAGAGTGTGTTGTGGGGCTTGAATTCAGGGCCTGGGTGCTGTCCCCACCTCTTTGTGCTCAAGGCTAGCGCTCTACCACTTGAGACACTTCACCACTTCTGGTTTTCTGGTAATTGGAGATAAAGAGTCTCATGGGGGATTTTCTGCCTGAGCTGGCTTTGAACCCCAATCCTAAGATCTCAGCCTCCTGAGTAGCAAAGATTACAGGCATGAGTCACCAGTGCCCAGCCTTTATGAGAATTTTATTTATTGATTGATTCATTGCCAGTCGTGTGAACTCTGGGCCTGGGCGCTGTCTCTCAGCTCTTCAGCTCAAAGCCAGTGCTCTAACACTTGAACCACAGCGCCACTTCCAGTTTCCTGGTGGTTCATTGGAGTCTCATGGATTTCCTACCAGAGCTGGCTTCGAACCACAATCCTCAGATCTCAGTTTCATGAGTAGCTAGGATTACAGGCATGAGTCACCAGCACCCGACTTTATGAGAATTTTTTTTTTGTCGGTCATAGGGCATGAACTCTGGGCCTGGGCGCTGTCCCTCAGCTCTTCAGCTCAAGGCTGGCACTCTACTACTTGAGCCACTGCGCCACTTCCGGTTTTCTGAGTGGTTTATTGGGGATAAGAGTCTCACTGACTTTCCTGCCTGGGCTGGCTTTGAACCGTAATCCTCAGCTCTCAGCCTCCTGAGTAGCTAGGATTACAGGCATGAGCCACCAGCGCCCGGCATTTTATGAGAATTTTTGATGGAGCATTCTAGGCACTGGAAGGTGACCCATCCTTTTGCAATTACAAACAGCATCACTGTGTCATCAGAGACACCTTCCTAAGAGGGGGCAGTACCGCCAGGAGGAGGGCACCCACGCTCCCAGTAACCCTGCTGAGATGCAACCATCGTCTCTGAGTGCTGGACTTTTATCTCTTCCTTTCATGCACCCCCTCCTCTCCATACCAGCCTTAAAAAGAATCTCATAAGTGATCTTGATTGTAAGAACAGATGTGTTTATATAGTGTTCATACACTGACATGCTGAATTGAAACTTCTTTATACAACTATTTTTTTTTTACTTAAAAAAAAAAGAATCTGTGGGCTGAGAATGTGGCTCAGTGGTAGAGTGCTTGCCTAGCATGCATGAAGCCCTAGGTTCAATTCCATGGTACCACATACACAGGAAAAGCTGCAAGGGGCGCGTGTCCCCATGTGTTTATAGTCCTAGGGTTCCAACGTCAGGGCCTCCGTGTTGTCCCTGAGCTTTTTTGCTTAAGGCTGGTGTTCTACCATATGAGCCACACCTCTACTTCATCTTTTTGATGGCTAATTGGAGATGAGAGTCTTTCTTGCCCAGGCTGAATTCAAACATGATCCTCAGAGCTCAGCTTCCTGAGTAGTTAGCTGGTGTAAGCCACTGGTGCCAGGTGCCTGTTTACATTTCTGTTTGTTCTCCTTTTTAAAGAGCTGGGTCAGCTCAGTGAAAAGTGTTTGCCCCAAGTGTTCATGACACTGCATTCAATTCCCAGCACAAGGAAAAGAACCACCAAAAACAGAAAAACAAAAAGCCTAAACAAACTTTAGAATCATTCTGTCAAGTTCCACAACTAAATCTGGTGGGATTTTTCGTGACATTGCATTGCATTTGAATGACTATGAGAAGAGGAAGGTAAGCGAGCACACTCAGGACAGGAGTGTCCCATGCAGGAATCTAGAATCCTAGTCTTTCCTTCCACTTCAGCAAAAGTGTACAACTTTTCTCATTAAAAACCGTATACATCTAAGCTTATTCCTAGATGTTGGTTTGCTGTTTTGGGTGTATTTTTTTTTACTATAATTGTCAATAAAATACTCTATTCTACCTGAAGTTTGGGAACACTACTGGTATTTTATAAGATAGATTTTAACAAGTCATTTTAAAAACGATTTGGGTGGAGACTTTGAGCATGGCTAAGTGGCAGAGCACTTGCCTAGCAAGTATGAGCTATAGGGTCACTATCAGAACCACTTAAAAAAATTCTTTTTTCCAACTGGTTCCTTGACTTTCACAATCACACTACCTTCAAATCAAATGATTATTTTCTTCTTGGTAAAGACTTTATGACTTCATGGGAAATAACAATGATAACACTTAAGAAGATATTAAACTATATTGAATATAACCATAACTATTCAAACGTACATAAGGATAGATATTCTATTTGCAAAGACCAAAAAAAGACAGAATAGCCTTTTTGCATTTTGATAAAGTGGGAAAAAACATACCTTTTCATGGTCACTTCCTCTCACACTAGTTTTACATTCTACAGTTTTATTTACCCCAAATCCCAAATATGTTAAATGGAAAACTTCAAAAGTAACTCACTCCTAGTTTTAAATAACTTTCTCTTTGTGTGTGTGTATGTGTGTTGGTTCTGGTGCTTGCACTCTGGGCACTGTCCCTGAGCATCTTTTTGCTTGCTCTGCCACATGAGCCACAACTCCACTTCCGGCTCTTTTGGCAGTTTGTTGGAGTTAAGAGCCTCACAGAAGCCAGGCTGGACTGGCTTGAAACCGCAGTCCTCAAATCTCAGCCCCCTGAGTTGCTGGGATTACAGGCATAAACCACGGGCACTTGGCTTAAATAACTTTTGTTACAATATACTGCTATAATTACTTTTTTTTTTAAATGATGGTTCTGGGGATTGAGCTCAGGGACTTACATTTGCTAGATAAATGCTATTTACCACTTGGGCCATACTTTCAGTTTCTATTTTTTTTTCAGTTTCTATTTTATAACTAGTTGTTGCTGATTTCTTACTAAACCTAATTTATAAACTGAACAGTATTATAGGTGCATGCATATAGGAAACGCTGACTTAGGGTCTTAGAATGTAATCCTCCCTCCCCCATGGATAAGCAAACCTTCTACCTCCACATCTTTAGCCTCGCCTGCAGACTGACAGAGCCTCACCACCTAACTAACGCCACACCATGCCACACCCATACTCCCTCCCACCCTAGCTAACAGGCTCTGCAGAGACGCTTGCTTGGTTTCATGGTCAGAATGCAGGGAAAAAGAGATCCCTAATTCCTAGTCTACATCAAGGTTATATGTGTGTCTGTGTGTACGTGCATGTGTACGTGCATATGTGTACGTGAGAGAGAAAGAGAGATACCAGGTTGTAGGCAGAACTTGAAGAACTTTAAAACAAACAAAGCCACCTACTTTTTTAGCCCCTCTAAGATTATACTACCTCTTTACACTTAATTTTTATATATATCAAGAAGGGAAAAAACAATAGTTTGGCTTATTTTCTCACCGAATTGTTGTTCTTGTTATCTTCTAGATGTTCCAAAACTGATGTTAGGTTTGGGTCATCCGAGTCCACAAACCATATTGGGGAGGATGATGGGTAAGACTCCTGTGACAGAGACAGAAATGTTACATACACCAACAGACACACCAATCTGCACACGCAACTAAACCATAAATAACTAAATCACTAAATAACAAGGTTAAGTGTGGAACCCAGCAAAATGTATCAATAAAACGCAGGTAGGGAGAGGGGCTGGGAAGGTGGCTCAGTGGTAGAGTGCTTGCCTTGCATGCCAGAGGCCCTGGGTTCAATTCCTCAGCACCACATAAGCAAAATGAAAAAAGCCGAAAGTGGCGCTATGGCTCAAGTGGTAGAGCGCTAGCCTTGAGCTGAAGAGCTGAGGGACAGCGCCCAGGCCCAGAGTTCAGGCCCCATGACCGGACCCAAAAAAAAAAAAAAAGAAGTTAAAACTTAGGTAGGGAGAAACCAAATTCTTTCTTATGGACTTTCAAAACTAAAATTGCTTCCAGGCACTGGCAAAGATTATAGGCTCTTGCCTAGAATCCTAGCTAGTCAGGAGGCTGAGATCAGAGGATCTCGGTTTGAGGTCAGCCTGGACAGGAAAGTCTGTGAGAATTATCTCCAATGAAGCAACAAAAAACAAAATGCCGGGGCTGGGAAGGTGGGTCAGTGGTAGAGTGCTTGCCTCGCATGCATGAGGCCCTGGGTTCAATTCCTCAGCACCACATAAGCAGAAAAAGCCGGAAGTGGCGCTGTGGCTCAAGTGGTAGAGCACTAGCCTTGAGCTGAAGAGCTGAGGGACAGCGCCCAGGCCCAGAGTTCAGGGCCCATGACTGGCAAAAAAAAAAAAAAAAAGCTAGAAGTGGAGCTGGACTCAAGTGGTACAGCACTAGACTTGAGCAAAGAAGCTCAGGGGCAGTATTCAGGCCCTAAGTTCAAGCGTCAGGACCAGCATCAAATTTATTTATTTATTTATAGAAGTTACATTTCTAAACTTTTAGAACATCTTACTCTGAACTTTAAAAATAAAGCCACGAGTGGTAGAGCATGAGCCTTGAGCTGAATTGCTCACAGTTCCCAGGCCTAGAGCTCAAGCCCCACGACTGACAAAAAAAAAAAAAGAAAGAGAGAGAGAGAGAGATCTTTCCTGTGATTGTTTCTAACATATTTATAAGATTATGTCTTTGTTGCTTTGTATGTATATGTGGAGGGGAAGAGAAAAAACAAATCGTTAAAACAGGGATACAGGAGGACCCATTGCAACAATGAGATGTACAAGTCGTTATGTCGAAAAAACGAACTTTACAACTTTGGTGGGGGGGACGGGGGAAGGATCGAAGGGATGGGAAGGGGAAACAAAGGAGGAGGCTACAATGCTTGATAAGAAATGTACTCATTATCTTCCCCATATAATTGTAACCCCTCTGTACAGTATTTTCACAATAAAAAATGTTTATAAAAAATAATAATAAAGCCACGGAATACATCTTTAAAGCCTTGTAAGTTCCTCTGTTCCTGCCTTCTGAATATTGTAACTGCAGAAGCCACTCTGAGATAGTTTTTTCCTCCACTAGGAATGAGTCTAAAGTTTATTCCATGTAACCAGGCAGGATGGCACTCGCCTATAATACCTCCCAAATGCTGAGGCAGGAGCATCATAAGTTCAAGCTAGTCTGGGGCAACACAGGGAGACCTTGTCTATAAAAGAAAAAATAATGCTATTTAATTACTATTCCTAATGGTTTTCTCTACCTTCTTTGACTGAAGCACAGAATGTAACTTATTTTCTTTGCTTTTGCTTTGTGTTTAGAGTCAGGATCTAGCTATCTGTAGGCTAGGGTGGCCTTGAACTCTCAGTCCTCCCAAGAGCTGGGATTACAGCTATACACTATTACACTTGGCCTTACAGTGTAATAGCTTTAAAAAAAAAAAAAAAAAGACATCAAGTGTCTTCCCCTTCAAACATCAAGTGTTAGAAGAGTACCAGACAGAGGCCGGGCCTGCCACCATCGATGTGCAGCTCTTCACCTTCTGCTCTCAGCGGCTCCCCTGACGGAAGGCAGGGGCCTGGGCCTTGTAAGGGCTTACCCACACTGCGGAGAAGAAACGACAAAGCCCTCTGGCCAATCAGAGCTAACACAGGCCCTCAGCTCAGACAAACACCTGAGATGAACCTGACAACACTGTGAGACTGACCTCAGGCGGAGCCTCAGCCTGTCCAGCCTTGAAATGGCTCCAGCCCTCCCACACACCACCACCTGTGAAAGCACAATGCCTGCCGGTTGAAACTGGTGTGTTGAAGCTCTGAGGCAAGGTTCACTTGTTACAGAGAGGGGTGTGTGTGTGTGTGTGTGTGTGTGTGTGTGTGCGCGCGCGAGCGCACGTGTGCATGTGCGTGTGTGCCGGTTGAAACTGGTGTGTTGAAGCTCTAAGGCAAGGTTCACTTGTTACAGAGGGGTGTGTGTGTGTGTGTGTGTCTGGTGTGTGTGTGTGTGTGTGTGTGTGTGTGTCCTGGAACTTGAACTCAGGGCCTGGGCACTGTCCCTGAGCTTTGCCATGAGCAAAAATGGTTTTAGCACCATTTCTGCCTTTTTAGTAGTTAATTGGAGATAAGAGTCGCACAGACTTTTCTTGCCTGAGTTGGTCTTGAACCATGGTCCTCAGATCTCAGCCCCCTGAGTAGGTACAAGTATAAGCTACCAGCACCCAGCAAGGGTGAATAACTTGAAATACACTGCACGTATATGTAAGAACAGCAACAAGAACCTCAAAGAACGTTGTGGATCAACAGGGGATGGGTAAGAAGTAGACTCTGTGGAGGTAGATGCTAGCAGGAAGGGGCTGGGCTAGCAAGGAGGATGCAAGGATCAATACAGTTCACATAGATGATTTGCAGCTATGAATACAGAACAATGCAAGCTCTTGATGTGGAAAAGGGAGACCCACTGAGTGGTGAGGGAGGCTGTTTGAAATATCTGGCAAATGAGTGGAAGTGCAATCATGAAATCCCTGTATAACCCACGTAAGCTATAAAAGAGAAAGTCTGTGTTCAAGCACTAAAAGTTATTTCTTGTTAATGTTGATACTTAAATGTATCTTTTTAACACTGCAATGATGAAACATTCTGCACCTGCAGAAAACTGGACAAAAAACAAAGTAACAAAAAACAACCACTTGTGTGACCCAGGGTAGGGGGTTCATCTGACCTAGCTCCTGGAGTATCATTTTTATCCGGGAAGAGGGTAACAATTGTTCCAAGTTGGGTTGGGGCAGATATTTTCTCAAAAAGATATCCCTGATCTTTCAGAAAAGCAAAGAATGGTGTTATTTTGCCAATCAAATTCACATTTCAGCCAGGCACTGGTGGATGACTCATGCCTGAAATCCTAGCTACCCAGGAGGCTGAGATCTGAGGTTTGAGATTCAGAGTCAGCCTGGGCCAAAAAATCCCTAAGACCCTTTTTCCAATTAACCAGCCAGCAATGGTGCTGTGGCTCAAATGGTAGAGCACAGTTCCCAGGCCTCATGTTCAAGTCTCAGGACTGGGACCAAAAAAAAATCAACTTTTCAAGCAAAGAAAGGAATTTTAGAACACTTGTGTCTGTGTGAGCCCAAAGCTTCCCAAAGGCATTCTGATGAGACTGTCCATGTTGGTGGACATGTTTTGATGTGTACAGTGAAACTTATCAACATTTAGAAGAACATAATGAACCAATATTTTCCGAATAGCCAATATATGATATTTAATATCATGCAAGAATGAAAGAGCTGTACTTCCAGGTAGATCATTTTGTAGAAAAGCAACATATTTACAATTATATAAAATAGCTCTTAAATTATTTCTTTTTCCAATCAGGTAGATGCATAGTCAGATTTGGGTCACATTTTTTGACAAAAACAGCATATCATACAACATACTGAATGCAGAAAGTGAGTGACACCAAATGAATTCGGGAAATAATGAACATCTGTGCATACAAAAGGGGCTTCATGCTTGCCTAGCATGAGTGAAGCCCTGGGTTCAATTCCTCAGTACCACATACACAGAAAAGGCCACGCTGTCTTCAAGTGTTATAACTCTAGCCTGGAGCAAAAGAAACTCATGGATGCCAGGTGCCGGTGGCTCACGCCGGTAATCCTCGCAACTCAGGAGGCTGAGATCTGAGGATCGTGGTTTAAAGCCAGCCTGGACAGGAAAGTCTGTGAGACTCTTCTCTCCAATAAACCACTAGAAAACCGGAAGTGGCGCTGTGGCTCAAGTGGTAGAGCGCTCGCCTTGAGCTGAAGAGTGCAAGGACAGCGCCCAGGCCCAGAGCTCAAGCCCCACAATGGACCAAAAAAAAAAAAAAAAACAGAAGCAGCAGCTCAGACACAAGGCCCAGGCCCTGAGTTCAAGCCCCAGGACTGGCAAAAAATAGAAAATAAAAAAATAAACATTTATAGTTCTGTTACATTCATGTAATGAATTCTTAATGTCTTTAAGTATTCATTTAAATAGCCATGGTTATTTACCTGACAGAACAAAAGCGTACACTCTCAACATTTTTTTGGTGGTCATAGGGCTTGGACCATGCCCTTAGTCCTTTTGCTGGATAGGGTTTTGCCCAAGGTGAGCCTCAGGGCCTTCTGCTTCTGCCTCCCTTGTAAGAGGAGTAAATGCTCTCAACCTGTTTGTTGAAATACTGCCTCACTAACTTTCGTTGATTTGTTTTGGCCTGAGACCTCAATCCTCCCATTTCTACCCCAGAGCTAGGATTACAGATGGGAAGTACCACGCCCAGCCCTCTTAAATACAATTTTAAGCACATAAAGGAGTCCTGAGCCCAGAAACATCAGAAACCACTGACCTTCCCACTTCTTGCCTGGTGCCACATATTCAATCACTGTTTATATCAACCTACACAGCTCCCCTAGGGGTCACTGGGCTACTTTCCTTTCTTAACACAATACCTGCACAAAAGCCAGGTACAAGTGGCTCACACCTGTAATCCTAGCTACTCAGGAGACTGAGAGCAAAGGATCACAATGTAAAGCCAGCCTGGGTAGGAAATAGCTCCCATGAATCACCAAAAAGCTAGAAGTGGAGCTGTGGCTCAAGCAGTATAGCATTAGCCTTGATCAAAGAAGCTCAGGGACAGTGCC